ATTTTACTCTCCTCACACTCTTTCTTACCTGCCTCAGTCACATTCATATTGATGGCCCATTATGGGAGGCCCTTTGTCTCTCAGGTGTGAATCAATGCAGTCCGTAACTTTTTGGGTTAAAAATTATCCGAAATCAATATTTGAGCAAGTACATAACCAGCCAGTGTTCAAAACTATTGCCTTACTTTAGCCTGATTCACAACGGTAAGCTTATAATAATGTTTTCTAATTTGAGTGGTACTGGTAGGAATTCGCGGGAAATTCGAGCATGCCGCTGCATCATTACGTCACGTCTGTAAACATAAAGAAGTGTTCCCAGCTAGTACACTATATCGTGTGTGTGGATGTTGCAGGTGGCGGATCGCTTATAGCCTTTTTCTCACAGCAGCTGGAATAATTAAATTTATCATTTTGATAGCAGATTGTAATCCAGAAAGGATTATGTGTTTATGAAACACATGTGACTGAAATTAGATTATATTCCATGTCCATCTGATTACAGATAGCCTATGTGGGATTACACAAACCTGTTCGAAGGAAGACTAATTTGCTTTTTGGGTTACAAGCACTAGTGAGCTCAGCAACCTAAAAAGTCCTGGACCTCCACGGAGGACAACAGTGCTGGATGATTGGAGGATCCTCTCCATGGTAAAGAAAAACCCTTTCACAACATCCAGCCAAGAGAAGAACACTCTCCAGGAGGCTGAAGTGTCTCTGTCAAAGTCTACAATCAAGGGAAGACTTCACCAGAGCAAATACAGAGGCTTCACCACAAACTGCAAACAAGGGCAGATTAGACTTTGCCAAAAAACATCTAAAAAAGCCAGAGCACTTCTGGAAAATCATTCTATGAATGGCTGAAATTAAGATCAAGCTGTACCAGAATGACGGGAAGAAAAAAGTATGAATAAGACTTTGAACAGCTCATGATCCAAAGCATACAGCATCATCTGTGAAGCATGGAGCAGTGTGATGCATGATCGTGCATGGCTTCAGTGGCTCTGGATTACTGGTGTTTAGTGATGATGAGACAGAAGACAGAAGCAGACGGATAAATTCTGAAGTGTATATAGACATACTGTCTGCCCAGATTCAGTCAAATGCAGCGAAGTTGATTGAGCGGCGCTTCATAGTACAAATGGACAATGAACCAAAACATACAGCAAAAGCAACCCAGGAATTTTTGAAGGTAAAACAGTGGAATATTCTGCAATGGCCAAGTCAATCCTCAAGTCAACCCGATTGAGCAGCATTTCACTCGGTGATGAAGACAAAACTAAAGGCAGAAAGAGCCACAAACACACTACAACTGAAGTCAGCTGCAGTAAAGGCCTGGCAAAGCATCACAAAGAAGGAAACCCAGTCTCTGCTGATGTCCACAAATTCCAGACTTAAGGCAGTCATTGCCTGCAAAGGATTCTCAACAAAATATTAAAAATGAACATTTTATTTATCATTATATTTATTTGTCCAATTACAATTGAGCCCCTGAAAATGGAGGGAATGTGTATAAAAATGGTTATTTCTAAGCTTTTTATGTTCAACCCTTTGAATTAAAGCTTAAAGTCTGCATTTCAATTCCATCTTGATTGTTTCCTTTTAATTTTATTCTGGTGGAATACAGAGCCAAAATTATGAAAATTGTGTCAGTGTCCAAATATATATAGACCTAACTATATATATTTACTGTTTTGTTTGTTTTATATTATACTATATATTAATCGATTATAAATTTAAATATTATTTATATTTATAATGACAAGCATTATATAATACAAATAATTATTATTGCTGTTATTAATGTTATTATACTTTGTTGAATTTTATTACACATATTAAATGTGTAAATCTGTAATATAAATGTGTATATATGCAATTAATATTTGGCATTGTAAAACAAAGTCACATTTTTACCAGGAAGATACAAATGAACTCCTTCAAAACAGAAATTTGTCTTTATTGAAGTCTTCTGACTCATTGCTGAGAAAGGTTTTTACAATTAAAGAGTGTGAAACTTCATAATGTCTCTGGCAGCTCAATAACGTCTCTCCTGAATGTGTCTGTGATTTCAGAAAGTACGCCTCTGTGAACATCAGCACTAACCTGTATGTGATCAGCCAGCCGTGGTTGTATTCGCTGGCGTGGTGCGCTGGGGTTCATTCGGTCACGACGAACGCTCTGCACAACCTCAAGACGCTGCAGCGGCCCCTGTTCCTCATGGTGAGCACAGATCACAAACCTCAAACCCTGTGACTGACCGATGTGTCAGACAATCACGCTTCTCTCCTTCTCACGCAGACTCCTGATGAATACAGTCTGATGTGGATCCTGACTGACATTGTGTCTGCTTTCCTCATCGCTGCTATTTTCATCTTCCACTGGTGAGTTCTGTTCAGCTAACCAGAAAACCTAATCAAACGCACATGCATCACACGTTCAAGGATTTCTGAAGACCTTCCAGATCTAAATTGCATAATGTCTATTTAAATATAGTATGCAAGACTAGAACTACATCAATTGCAGGATGTCCCAAATCATAAATCATAGTTTGTTAGGTTAATCTGAATATTCTAATATTTTATGTGTAGTGAATGAAAAAGCATATTATTTGCATCCTATCCAGTGTGCATGGCTCCATAATTTCTTGTGTGCATTTGTTATATTGCTGTTGTAGAACTGCATCATTTTTTAAAACTGCATGCAAACGCTGCATCACCGTGGCCTAATAAAATAATTCATTATTTAAAAAAAAAAAACTGTGTGGTTGGTAGCTAGCTAGGTGAAAAAACTGTATCACAACTGTATCAACATCTAGCTGCATAATTAAAAAAAATGTTTTGTGTGCATTTTGGGCCAGTGTCAAGATTGTGTTTGCATGCAGTAGTTTAGTTAATACAGTGGCGTTTTAGTGCCACGTTAATAAATAAATACTAAATCTATGAGATTAAATTCATAATATTTTTAGAACAAAGTCAAAATTGCAAGAATAAAGTTGTGTTATACTGCATGAATAAAATTTCAAATACAGTACTCCGCAAAAAAAGCCTTATATTGTTAGCTTTTCTGAGGTAAATGTTATGTTATTACTGTTATGATGATTCACAAGCTGTTTTATTAAATTGCTCTCACTTTTTTCGACACCTTCTGATATCCATTCGTTTATTTCGCGCTGTAACTAGTAGAAAGAGGAAGAGATGATTGATTCTGCTTGAAATGAGGTGAATACAGTGATCTCACGCCACATGAAAGAGTGTAAAAACACATTTATTGTTTGCATTTCATGATAAAATTGACAGAATTTAAAGGCTGAGACTGTTATTTTAAAAGTAACAAAGCACAAAGCTTACTGTGATTATCGGGTGGCTGGAGCAATGCTGATAATCAATTGAAACTTGAAAATGTTAAATATTATTTGCAAGCATTTATACAGTCAATAAAACGGCTGTTTGCCTCAGAAAAGACAACCAGTTAAGTTAACTGAATTGGAGTCTACTTTAAAAATAACTATAATTTTTTTAATAATAATTTTTTGCATATGGGCCCAGGACTGACTTGTATGGAAGCCTGTTTCCGCCACTGAACAAAAAATAAAAAAGGTAATTGCGACTTTTTATCTCGCAACTCTGACTTTTTTTCTCAGAATTGTGAGTTTGTATCACACAATTCTGAGAAAAAAAGTCAGAGTTGCGAGATAAAAAGTCGCAATTACCTTTTTTATTTTTTGTTCAAAGTCAGAATTGCGTAATATAAACTCGCAATTGTGAGACATAGTCGCAATTCTGAGAAATAAAGTCAGAACTGCGAGATATAAACTCACAATTCTGCCTTTTTTTATGACGTTTATAATGTATCAGTCTTTTTTGCAATTGCGAGTTATAAAGTCAGAATTGCGAGAAAAAGGTCAGAATTGCGAGTTTTTATCTAGCAATTGTGACTTTATATCTTGCAATTCTGACTTTATAACTTGCAGTTGCGAGTTTATATCTCACAATTCTGTGAAAAAAAAGTCAAAATTGTGAGATAAAAAGTCGCAATAACTTTTTTTTTTATTATTCAGTGGCGGAAACGGGCTTCCATAGACTTGCTGCGCCACTGAGTTGAAGGCTTAAATCATTGTGAACCTGCTGCATGTTTGTTGTAGTTATATGATAAATGTTTGCTCCTGCAGGTGGCGTGAGCGAGGTTTGCCGTTCTGGTCGGGCGGCAGACAGGTGAATGAGAACGGGCCGTACAGCAAGTTCAGGACGGGTAAGTTTGACTTTTGGCTGTGAATCTTTGGTTGCTCATGTTTTTGGCGTGTCATGCTGCAATGCGGCGTCCAGATCGCTGGCTATTTTCAGAACGGCAGACTGTCACACTGCTGCTGCTTCGGCCAAATCTGCAGTTTACAGCACAGTACAGTGAGTGTGACACTGTACTCATGATGTAATGCACTCAACCGCATCCAAACATCTGATCCAGGACCTGTTATCTGATACAACAACAGAAATCTAAAAACTGGAGGTAAAATGCAAAATAACTATATTTATATAGATATAATTGGTCATACATAAAAAGGTCATATTAGTGGCATTCTATATTTTGAAATATTTAGTGCATATTGTGAAATATATTTAGTAAAATATAGTACACCGTACATAATATGCAAAAAAACTTTTGTCTTCTGAGTAAGTGATTTTTGTGTGTGTTATGGCACATTATTATATATTATAATGATATTATGTATTAAATTATGTAAAGTATACATGTGTGTGTGTGTGTGTGTGTGTGTGTGTGCGTGCGTGCGAGACCCTGGACCACAAAACCAGTCATAAGGGTAAATTTTTCAAAATTAAGATTTATACATAATCTGCAACTATTTGAAAATCTGGAATCTGAGGGTGCAAAAAAATCTAAATATTGAGAAAATCATCTTTAAAGTTGTCCAAATGAAGTTCTTAGCAATGCATATCACTAATCAAAAATTAAGTTTTGATATATTTATGGTTGGAAATTTACAAAATATCTTCATGGAACATGATCTTTACTTAATATCCTAATGATTTTTGGCATAAAAGAAAAATGTATAATTTTGACCCATACAATGTATTGTTGGCTATTGCTACAAATATACCCCAGCGACTTAACACTGCTTTTGTGCTGCAGGGTCACATATATATTATATATTTATATATTTACTCATGAAAATGTGAAATCAAAAATAAATAGTTTTAAAATTAAAATAATCAAAATAAACACTGAAATTAGTTTTGTTTACCTGCATGTCATGTGACCATTACATTTACATTTAGTCATTAAGCAGACGCTTTTATTCAAAGCGACTTACAAATGAGGACAATAGAAGCAATCAGAATCAATAAAAGAGCAACATGTAAGTGCAATTACCAACCATCATCAGAAAACCATTAACATGCAAATTTGTGATTACCTTATAGAAATACATAGACTTTATAGACTTAAAATCTCAGGGGTACTTGAAGTAAATATTTATGGTCAGAAGGGTTTGGTTGACAAAAGGTTTGAAAATCCCTGACCTAATTCCCCAGGGCAAAGGTGAAGTATGGGAATTAGTAGTCAGATTTCCCACCAGAAGGCCTTGTTGTTCAGTGCTGTGATGTTTGCGTGTGTCTGTGCTGTCTGAGATCCACGGCATCCGCTGGAACCCTCTGTTCTTTGACCCCGAGCTCCCCCTGCATGTCCCCCCTGTGCATGTCTTCCCCGTCTGACCCTCCTTCACTCTCATTACTCTCGGCAGAGCTGAGCGACGTCTGGTCCATCTCCAGCATCAGCATCAGCGTCCACAGAGAGGCTCAGAACTCACCCGTCACTCCCAGCCTGCCCACCATCAGCGAGGAGCCGCCTGTCTGAAGATCTGTGCTGCGGAGGAGGAAAGCCTGCGTCCATTCACAGCTTCAGAGCGACACAGACAGCAATCTGAGCTCCAAACCAACGGCGGAAGATGCTTTTCATAATCTAGTCTGGACGAGGGTCAAACTTGGAGACACAAGTACATGACTTTATGAACACTGATATTAAATGACCCTCCATTACTGGCCAGACGGGTAATATAAAATATATATATATATGAAGAATATAAAAACTCATGTTTTAGGTCTGAGAAAGACCCTTAAAACTAAAAATAAAAGTAATAAAAAGTAAATAAAATTATACTCTCATCACAGTTTAGCACATTTTCCCTACATTTTTCATTACTATTATACATTTTTCATTACATATTTCCATAAGTTCCATTATTCTTTGAAACAATTAATTCACTTCAATTCCATCTTGATTGTTTCATTTTAATTCTATTCTGGTGGAATACAGAGCCAAAATTATGAAAATTGTGTCAGTGTCCAAATATATATAGACCTATCTATATATATTTACTGTTTTGTTTGTTTTATATTATACTATATATTAATCGATTATAAATTTAAATATTATTTATATTTATAATGACAAGCATTATATAATAAAATTAATTAATAGAATTTTATTAATTATATTAAATTATACATATTTATATAATTTGTATATATTCTTATATATATATATATATATATATATTAGTCATTTTTTCACTTTTTTAAAAATCAACTAATTAAATACAATTTTTAAAGTAAAGAAATTTTTGGGAAAATGTGTCAAACATTAAACAGTAACATCAAATAAAAATATTTCAGTAATATTAATATACATTAAAAATAATAAATATATTATTTCTTATTCTAGGGCGAAACGCAGCTTATACTGTGGCAGTACCATGAAATTCATGTACCATGGTGTTTACATGGTACTCAGAGTGATTCATAGAAAATGTTATGATAGTGATATTTTGTTAAAAAATATCAAAAGTATTTGACCAATCATTTTCTGAACTGGTGGCATAAGGTGAATCCATCGTCCAGTTTCTGTTGCTTCTGTGAAGTTCGTTTTTATCATTAAAGACTGAATTTGCTTATTTTAGACCCAGATGCAGATAAGCCCGATTACCGCGGTATGACGCATGGTGAAATGAATTGCATGTCATTGCATTTAATCCAGAGTGTTTTGGAAATATATAAGATGTCAGATCCTTTGCATGATGTGATAAATTTGACAAACACTTACAATCAGGAAGACAAAATAAAGCCAAACAGATGATCTGGAATTTCTGACAGTGGAGTTGCTGATGTGAAGTACAAAAGTGCTCAATCAGCCTCTGATTATACAAGGTTTCTGATTAATGCGATCGGCTTAAAGGTGAACAAACGCTCCTCGCGTCATCTGTTTAGCAGTCTTGCTTGGGCTTGCATACTTGCTTTGTTGCTCCATCATGGGATGCTAAAACATTCCTGCCTGTAGAAAATGCAATGCCTAGCGTGATTTCTATGACTTAATCTGTAACTCGTGTCTGTAAATATGATTGTAAACTGATCTTGAATGATATTTTTTTGTCTTTTTTGTTACTCTATCATCAGCACTGGTAGCCTAAATAAAAATATTTTTAGCAGACTCACTATATGCCTCGATACATGTTGTCACAAAAATATATTTTGATATATATGTTACAATGAGAGTATCACATCACAACAAAATTAAAGTGTTCGGGTTTAATTTTCATTCATGTAATAAACGCTGCACTTTTTACAGGAACATTTAATATAAAACTAATATGGTGCCTTTACAGGGTAAGAGTGGTCAGAAGTTTCTCTGCTCATAAAAGTGCTCAAGAGACGAATGCATTCAAGGTTAGTTTCTGATGTTACAGTAAGTCAGTCAAATATTTGTTGAAGGACATATTTGGTGCAAATAAAGGCCATAAACTGAATGAATATAAAGACACAAACTAACATCAAACCTACTGCTGCAATATACACAAGCATCAACAGTCGTTCAAATATTGATAACTTCAAGGACTTCAGCGGTTTCATTCTAGCATATTAATCTATGGATCTCATGGAAACATGTCAAAGTCACATTTCATCCTAAAATCTAAAAAAAAAAAAAAGTTTAAATTTTACATCAGGAATGTGAATCCTGTTTTCGAGAGCATTTGAATTTAAGTAAACACAATTTAGCCTAGTGCATCTGGACATTTTATTTGTGCAATTCTCAGATGTTGGTCAGCTTTAAATCCTCAGCTCTGAGTGTTTTATTACTTCAGTGTTTTTAAGTCATACGTTAAAGGCAGTGCAACAAATACTACCATGATGCATGAACACAACAAAAATTAGACCTCTAAATCAGGCTTTCTAAAAACAAGGTTTCATTTTCCTCTGTGCATAAATAATTTTTCTTTAGGCTGAAATATGACCTGAACATGTTTTTACCAGGTTCCTCTTTTTTTTCATTTAAATAAGGCCATGTATTTTTGTCTTTTCTCCTTTTCATTCCCAAAATGATTCCCATCATCAGCTGTATTCATGTTGACTCAAAACTCATCGCTAGTGGAAATGAGGTTACAGTGGCAGATTAAAAGATGTTGTTTATGTAACAATTTTTAAAGGACTAGTTCACCCAAAAATGAAACTTTGGATTATTGTGATGTTTTTATCAGCTGTTTGGACTCTCATTCTGACAGCACCCATTCACTACAGAGCATCCATTGCTGAGTTGGTAAATCTAAATTTCTCCAAATCTGTTCCCGTGAAGAAACAAACTCACCTACATCTTGGATGGCTTGAGAATGAGGACATTTTCAGATTTTCAGATTTTCATTTTTGGATGAATTAAAAAAAAATCAAAAAAAAAAATTTAAAAAAATTTCAGCCTTCCAAAACAGTAGATACAATATTTTTAAGATGTTGTTTATGTAACAATTTTTAAAGGACTAGTTCACCCAAAAATGAAACTTTGGATTATTGTGATGTTTTTATCAGCTGTTTGGACTCTCATTTTGACGGCACCCATTCACTACAGAGCATCCATTGCTGAGTTGGTAAATCTAAATTTCTCCAAATCTGTTCCCCGTGAAGAAACAAACTCACCTACATCTTGGATGGCTTGAGAATGAGGACATTTTCAGAATTTCAGATTTTCATTTTTGGATGAATTAAAAAAAAAAAAATTTCAGCCTTCCAAAACAGTAGATACAATATTTTTGAGCCAAGCGTATCTACAAAAAAAAAAAATTTAATTATTACAAAAATGCCCATGATTTTACCAGCAACAGTTTGAAAATTCCAGGATTCTGTGTGATGTAAAAACACGCGAAAACCAAAAATGACAGTATTTTCATGTGTCTGTAGAAATACAGGCAAATAACTTTATTTCATTATGTGAAACAGGGAGAAAAACATTGCGATATACAAAAAGATACGTCACAGAATATGATCAAGATTTCTTTGGCTATTTTACCCGTTCTGATAAGGCACATCTTCATCTGTAAACAACAGGCATTACACGCAAAGAAACAGAAAAAGAACAAAAAACAAAACACAAATAGTTCATAGTGATCGCAAAATGGCACAGCTGTACTGAGATTCTCATATTTCACATCTAAAAAGCAACTTGGCATTTGCTATTAGGTTAAAAACAGAGGAGAATAATGTAGAATTTGGCTTTATGACATTTAAATTTTTCAAGTTTGTGACTATTACCATTCTGTGAAGAGGCAGGAAATGCTTTTAAAATTGAAGTTGTTATACAGTATACTGTGTAATATTTTTTGTGCATATTACCACTTGAAATATAAGAAACCCCTGCTTCTTCCTCTGTTGACATACTGACACCTTGTGGTTAGAATTGGTCTTTACACAAGTGATGCTAACATACATATAGTAAACAATATTTGTAAGTGATCATTTATATTCACTGTTATGGCTCTGAAACAGATTTATACTCATCATGCATTCCTTAAACAGAGTCTGTCTGATATATATTCACTTCAAACACCATGTTAGAGACATAAACGAATCCTGGATTCTGGTAAACAGATGAAAACACTGGATAAAACTCCTCATCATCTGGAGAAATGTTTCCTTTAAGAAAAGCGTGATAAAATCAACATGTGGTCAAGATAATGGCAAATATTTGAAAGAGGAAAACAGGACTGCCCTCTATATTTCAACATTTAGTGTAAACAGATTAAACAGAAGAAGCCCTTTACCCTCCGTTTCAGATGAAAGGTCAAATTATGGTAACAGACAGAATATAAAACTGAATTCATAACTACATACTTGAATAATAGATAGTGGTATTAGATATATGCATATACTGCATGTTAATTTGTATAATGATATAAATGCATGTCCTACAATATCTTGATTTATATTTATATATAGCAGAAAATTACACTTTTAAAGGGACAGTTCACCCAAAAATGACAATTCTGTCATCATTTACTCACCTGTTCCAAACCGGTAATAAATTTCTTCTTTTAGCTGTTGAACACAAAAGAAGATATTTTGAAGAATGTTGGTAACCAAACAGCTGACGGTACCCATTGACTTCCATAGTATTTTTTCCCTACTATGAAAGTCAGTGGCTACCGTGGGTTAACAACAATCTTCAAAATTCCTTCTTTTATGTTCAACAGAAGATCGAAACAACTCGAGGGCGAGTAAATGATCGCAGAATTACATTTTTGGCCGAACGGTCTCTTTAGGTTGTAAAAAGTGCTTGTAAACGAGTACATTCGCTTGCAAGAAACATTCCCAAAGGACTCCAAAGAATTAAAGAGTAGAGCTGGGACAATAAACCGATGCATCACGAATCGAGTTCTGCATCAATTCTGAGATTATGCATCGCGATTCTCTCTTGAATCGGTTCCGAGCATAGTTTCTAACAGCAGATGGCACTGCATGCTTTAGAAACAGCCGTACTGTGCTTGCTTCCAGTTCCTGACAACATAAAATAATCATTCATACAGTTTGAAAAGGTTGAAGCGAATTATAAGGGGGTCCATAGTGGGCTGTGTTTACATTAATAAAAAGCATAAAAGCCAAGGTGCAAGTACATTTAACCACTTACGTGAGCATTTGAGTGTGCGGTTAAAAACTAGCCTTAGATCGCCATCTGCTGTTAAAAACCAAGCTCAGAATCGATTCCAGAGAGAATCACGATGCATTGATTTTTTCCCCAGCCCCAATTAAGAGCATGTAAGTATAAGTGTAATACAACACGTCAAGTGCGTAAAGTACTCCACGATTAATCACAGACACAGAGCGTGCTGAAAAGCGCTCAGATGTTGGTCAGGACGTCGCTGGTAGTGAGGCTCACTGACACCAGACCTGGAAGATCGTTGTTCTGCCGGTTTGCTTTGTCCCGCAGGCGAAGCGTGTGAAGCTGCTGCAGGTCGGAGAGATCGCCGCTCAGGACCGCCTGACCCATGAACGAGTCCTTCAGAAGGTTCTTGTTGTAGATCTGATTGACAAAGAGAGTAAGAGGCAGATTAGCAGTGTTGGAGAAAGTATATTTTGAAAGCAATGCATTACAATATTGCATTACTCCCTAAAAAACTAAGTTAGTTACTTTTTATGGAAAGTAATGCGTTACGTTACTTTTGAGTTACTTTTTAAATCTGGGCTGGGCTTGCTTGTTTGTTTTTAATATAAAAAATTTATTTTACAAATGTAAAAGCCCTCTCACAACAAAAGTAAAATGAATGCGCCTCAGTCTGAAGGAAATGTAAATTCACGTTTGTACAGTAGAGGGCGCAGCTCAAACTAATCACATGAAGAATATGACGCAGGAGAAGAAAGTTCAACACTATTCAGAAATAACAAAAATCAAACACAAATGTGAGCCTGGAGCACAAAAGCAGTCTCAAGTCGCTGGGGTATATTTGTAGCAATAGCCAACAATACATTGTATGGGTCAAAATTATCCATTTTTCTTTTATGCCAAAAATCATTAGGATATTAAGTAAAGATCATGTTCCATGAAGATATTTTGTACATTTCCTACCGTAAATATATCAAAACTTCATTTTTGATTAGTAATATGCATTGCTAAGAACTTCATTTGAACAACTTTAAAGATGATTTTCTCAATATTGATTTTTTTTTGCACCCTCAGATTCCAGATTTTCAAATATTGTCCTATTCTAACAAACCATACATCAATGGAAAGCTTATTTATTCAGTGTTCAGATGATGTATAAATCTCAATTTCGAAAAATTGACTCTTATGACTGGTTTTGTGGTCCAGGGTCACAAATGTGTCATTTTTGCTTATTAGTCTGGTTGAATTGAATCATCGAAGGTCAGCAGCATTTTACAACATTTGTTAATAAAATGGGATTAAATACATAAATGATATTCGTCGTATTTAACATATTTAATCATTGCAGGTTTCTATAATACTCTGAGTTTGCATTTGACTGTTTTTATTCATTTTGAGGAATACTGAATGTGTTTTTATGCAGGTGAGATGAGTAATACATGTTCATATTCAGTCTAGAACTACAGTAAGCTAAGTCCAACGTAGAGTTTACACCCAACCTTTTTACGTCTGAGTAATACATGTTCATATTTAGTCTAGAACTACAGTAAGATCATGTTCACACGTCTCTGCACTTATTCCGATTTCTGTCACCATGGCAACACCAGAGCTGTCAGTCAAAACATAGGAAACAAAGTAACTAGTGTTACTTATTTTAAAAAGTAACTCAGATATTTCCTTCTAAATTAAAAAGTAATGCGTTACTTTACTAGTTACTTAAAAAGAAGTAATCTGATTACATAACTCGCATTACTTGTAATGCGTTACCACCAACACTGCAGATTACAGAAGAGAACACGACATTCCTAATGATTCCTGAAAGACCGGCACCTGAATGCGGATCGCCTCCTGCGGCTTCTTCCTGTAGAACACGGCCTTCACGTCAAAGTCCGGACTCTGTGTGTTTTTGTGCACCGGAGAGCGAACCTTCTCTCCCTCACAGCTGATGATGACGTACGGATCGGACGCTGAAACAACGGGAAGATTCAGTCGATCAAAAACAGCAAAACTGACTTCTGGGGCAATTTACTGAAACATATCAGATCCAAATGCACTCATTTTCAACATGTTGGTCTCATTAAAAAATTCTGAAATTCTTTAAAAAGAACTTATAAAAGTTTGACATTTTAAAAAAGTTTGACTTTTTTTTTTTTTTTTTATTCATCGGTTTCTCCAATGTCCAGAAACATACAGATACAGTCTCAAACATACATTAGGGGGGAAAAAAGTGAAGAAAGTTAGACTTTTGATGTGTGTCATAAGTGAGTTTCTCAAGCGGGAGTAATGCAGATATTTGAGACATCCACATATGAACACAATAACAATATTTCTTTGCCAAATGGATCAAAATTAAAAACAAGTGTTTAGCATGAGAGTCAAATATTGTCTCCACTCCAATATATAACAAATACAATTCCGGAGAGAAACAGAATTTAACTTAAGGAGCTCTTGTAGAAATGTATGTATTTTGGTCCAAAAAGGGATACGCTTTTTTAAAGTTTTTTTTTTTTTTTTTTTTTTTTTCAATAACCAGTTTTGTTTTTAAATATAATGACTAAAAATAGTATTAAATTGTTTGTTTGTTTTTGTTGTCATGTGACAAGCATGTCAACAGGAAATGACATCACAGAGGGCGTGTGTCAGGAAACTTCTCAAAATATCAGATAATTTGATCATTATGGTATGGCAAGATTAGTTCAGTTTGTAAAATTGTGAATTGAGTCATACTTTAAAAAAAAAAAAGTATATTAATATAACTTAAGACAGGTTAAAACATACACTACTGTTTGAAAGAAACTGACACTTTTATTCATTAGGGTTTAAATTGATGAAAAGTGTCAGTACTTTTCAGACATTTATAATGTTACAAAAGATTCTATTTCAAATATATGCTGTTCTTTTGAACTATCTGTTCATCTCTGAATCCTTAAAAATAAAATGCATCAGTTTCCACAAAAATATTGTGCAGCACAACTGTTTTCAACATTGATAATAATCAGAAATGTTTCTCGAGCAGCAAATCAGCATATTAGAATGATTTCTGAAGATCATGTGACACTGAAGACTGGAGTAATGATGCTGAAAATACAGCTGCGCATCACAGAAATAAATTACAGTTTAACAGATATTCAGATAGAAAACAGCTATTTTAAATTGTAATAATATTTCACTTTTTTTTTCCTGTATATAAATGTAATCTTAGCTAGCACAAGACAATTCTTTCAAAAACATTCAAATATCTTACTAACCCTAAACTCGGTAGTTTACACTACCCAAACATATTACACAAATATATGCAAGTTGTCAGAAAAAAAATATTTTATTATTTTACTTGGTGATTATAACACTTTTAAGAGTCATTAATGGTTGTAAATGTTTTATATATTTTTCAAAAATATATAATACTTATATAATGCTTCAATAGAAAAAATTATTTAAAAATGTTCAAATAAAGCAGTAAGCCCCGTGAAGCCGTGGTTTATAGTGAATTTATAACAACCCCCTTAGCTGTTATAAAATCACTGTAAACCACGGCTTCACAGGACTTATTGCTTTTAGAAAACGGTTATTCCATATACGTAGTAAGGTTTCACAGAATAAAACAGAGCAAATAAAGTGTAATGATATTAATAAAAACAGTATTCTTCCACCAAACAATGTAG